AGTAAATGTTCCAACAATACTATTGTAAGTTAAGCTAAAACAATAGTAAATGTTCCAACAATACTATTGTAAGTTAAGCTAAAATAAATAGTTCTCGTACTTTAGTTGTAATTTGAATTTAGGTAACTCTTATTAAAATTTATATTTTATACTTATTTTAATCTAACTACTTAACTAAATTTATTAAACCTGAAATTAATGAAAATAAAGTGAATTGAACGAATTCTTATTTTATTTTTATTTATTTATTTATTTTTTGAATAAACCCTTGTTAGTATTATGTCCGGCTTTAATTCTAATATATTATCGACTTAAAACCAATTAATTAATTAATTTCATGTCACAGACAAATTTGAATGATACAACAATATAAATGATACATTAAATGTAGGGAACGAAAGCAGTGAACCGATGGTTGAAGCTCAAGATCTATTTATATACTCCATCATACCCCCTCATGAGAGTCTTTTAGGCTGAAGTACGAATGCAGATATGTTGAAAGACCAACTCAACTAAAAACTTAAGTTTATTGATGGTTGAAGTTGGTTTATATACTCTATTAATTACATATAATAATTTGCTCCGTATAAATTCGACGACTAACATGTGTAATGTTATACTAGTCAAGTTAGGAAAATTAATAATAACATTTGAAAAATGTACCGACTACCGTAACACAATAATTTTGATATACGTGTTTATACGGATACCAAAGTACACAAAATATAAAATGTTGCACGTACTCCGTAGAGTATTAAATAAGAAACGTATAGTAGAGACGAAGGTAGAGAGCATAAAGGAAAGAGACGAAAGGCGGGAAAAAGGTAAAGAAGAGCAAATGGTCGTTAGCCCCTGCCTCTGCATGTGCGCTTGGCAGTTTTTATTTTGGATCCTTATACACCCAACCACATCTCTTCTCATTCTACCCTGCTACTGCTCTTCTAAACCACAAACCCGCTTCATTTCTCAGTCTTTTTTTTTATTTATTTTATTTTATTTTTGTAAAAATTTTGGGAGGAGGAGATTGAACTTTGAAAATGAACTTCATTAAACAAGAAATGATTAAACATGAAATGAAAAGGAACTTAAAAATATATACTACTCCTTTCGTTTCATAATGATGTTCTTATTTACGTAAATCAATGTACGTTTTATCCATCTTTAACCGCAAATATTTTTAATCTTACACTAGGGGATTATAAAAGTTAGATATTAATAATCTACTCATCAAAACGAATAAAAGTAGATTTCACATGACTATATTTGTTCTTATAGATTGAGAAAAATTTAGAAGATCCTCTCTTATTTTTTAAAAGTCAAAAATTCCAAACAAGAACATCATTGTGGAACGGAGGAAGTACCTCAGTTTCATATTATTTGTAACAAAGGATTTGACACAGATTTTTAGGCAAAATTTGTTTGTAAGTGTTAAATAAAGGGAGAAAGATAGAAATGTATGTGATGTGAGAGAGATAAAGAGAAATGAAAATTTATAATGGAAATAAAACATTTGTTGCACATAATGTGTAACATCCATTTGTAATAAATGTTGTACAGTACATATTATGAAACAGAGGTAGTAGCTAAACTTGGGTGGATATGTGCATGTCTTTATTTATGCAAACGTTCAATCTGTATACCAATAACTTTGAGCTTCACATTAAGCTTGATTCGAAAAAGGAGAGAAACTTTTAAGCTCATAATAAATGAATTGGTAATAAAGAGCGTGAGTTGTTTTATCACCTTGTTTTCATGTGTTTCAACTAAATTATATTCATTACAATTAATTATGGCTATCCAAGTTCAATAATGTATAAAAATCAAACTTGGGATATAAAGATCTCAATTTTTACCCAAAACCAACTCAGCTTTAATATAATCAACATAATCTTATGCCAACATTTAATAGATAATAACCAAAATCAAGAGGGAGGCCAAAGCCCATACACCCTAACCCCCCTTGGTTCCGCCCCTGTAATATATCATCTTTCATCCACTATTTATGGCGGAGTAACACATTTTATTTTGCGCATCACTAATGAATATCGATACTTCCAATACTTTAACAAAATTCAATAATCTCCAGCAGAGCATACTAAAGTGTACGCTAGATTATTAGTGTTCTAGAGAGTGAGAATGTTGCCTTTGCTAGATATATGTCTTGCATAATTTGATTATGATGATAGATAGATGTCTTATTGAATAAAGCAAAGTCGGGTAAAAAAAAAAGGAATTAAAGTAGAAAATTCGTAGAAATAAAAAGTGAGAATAGAGAAAGTACGACAATGATTATTAATGTTACTAATTTTAAAATTCAAGACAAAAACAGATGTATATCGATATTATAATGCTTTTGGTGTGATAAATTCACATTTTTTAATGATTTAATTAATATAGAACAACATAGAGAAAATTGTTTTTTATAATAAGGCGGTTGGGGAGGGGGACTCCCTGCTTCATGAGCAAACATAAGTGTTATGGAGAAATAGACATATTTGCATGAATACGAATCAAACGATATCAAGGTATAATCAGTGGCGGATCCAGGATTTGAGTAATAGGTTGTCCCATCATCGTCTATTGACCGTATATAATATTAAAAAATAGTCAAAGCTTGTATGATTAGCAAAAAAAATACATAAAAAAAGCAAGTTACTTGACACGTGTCTGCATGTGAATGGTCTATTTTTTTCTAAAAAAATTAATTAAACAATTCCCCACCCAGCCCAACACCACTTCCCAGCCCAGCCCCAACAACCACCCCCTCCTCCTACACCACCACCAAAACCACCCTCCTGCATGTGAATGGTCAGCAAGAAACCCTTGAAGAGCACTAGCCCTTGAGTATATCGAACTAGGATCTCCTTTCCAGATAATTTTAACCATAGCTAACTATGTCAAGTGCCGCACCGGCCTCCGCCCACCCAAAACCAGCAGCGAAAACAATGCATCTTCACATTTTCTTTGCCATAACATAAATACATAATAGGTTCCTAATTCAATCCATATCAAGCCCATTCATAGTTTAAGCAAGAATTCCCAATCAAAACTTAATAATTCTCTAAAACAATCCAAATGCCAGTATAATTTGCAACTAGAATTCTCAAAATTCAACTTAAACAACCTAAAAATAATTAAATTGATTGCAATACAAACTTAAACATGCAGAAATTCCATGATTTTGAACAATTAGCAGCAACATAGATCTAATCAAGTAGAAAAAAGATAAAAAGGAGAAAAAAAATTAAGAAATGGAACCTTAGGTTCGTCATTAATGGCGGAAATGAGATCGGAGAGAAGATCAAAACAGAGAAGAAGATCGGGAAATTTGTGAGCAGCAGAAGCGACAATGGATTGTAATTGAGCAACATACATCAAAGTATTGATTTTCCACAAAGTATGAGCCACAGATTGACATTGACGGACGAACCATATATTGGCGACGGTGAGAAAATGGAGTGACGGAGTACGGAGCTTAAACTGGCCGGTGAACGGTGACGGTGCTACGGGCCTGCGGGTGGGGTCTGGGGATTTCGATTTAGGGGAGTTAGAGACTTAGGGTTTTACAATTTGGGGGAAATGTTCTGAATCCCAAGTTTTAATTTCTAAATGTTGAAAATTGGGTGTGAGGTTATAAAGCAAAAAAAAGAAAAAAAATGTCAGTAATGGGGTTTGAACCCACATCTCGCGTGTGATGGGTGGTAAAAAAACCACTAGGCTGCAAGCTGAACTTCTTGACATTTAGTGTTTAATTTTTTTATAAAATAATAGGTTGTCCTGTGACACACTATGACTACACGTGGGTCCGCCCCTGGGTATAATAACAAGGAAATCTTCACGTAGCCCTACTTAATAACTCTATTGATTAGTTGGTTGTATTCTTGTATGAACTTACAATTTATGGATTATAATGAGAGTTTATTTAGAAGTGTTTGGGACTTGGGAGATAGTACTATTGATGTGTTTTGCACTTGTGCCTTAGCTTTATTACTGTGTACTTTATGTACTTCTAAACATTTCTATTGAGAATTCGAGATTCAATTAATAACCCATATGAACATCTTAAACTGGTGATTATTGGTTTAAAATCATATTTTTTATTTTGTTTACTTTCTGGATAATAGCTATTTAAAAATTTAAGTTTTATTGCTGTATTAAATTACAACGCTCTATAAAATTTTGTAATAGTTTTATGCGGAAATGTTTCACTATTGTGCTGATAGCCTAATGTTATTATGGTACTTTTAAAAGTCTACCTCTATAACTCGTACCAAACTAAATACTTTAAAGTGATGGTTGAATTCTCAAATTAATTTTATGATCTATGCTTGTATGAAACCTCTCTACATGAAAGCCCTTTGGCCTTGCTTAAGTGTGTAGACAAGATCAGTGTCTTGTCAGGCAATGACTCATTATATTACAGAATATGAAAAAATCAACTTAACCAAAAAATTAATCTAATAGTTGGAGACTTGGAGTATACTTGTATTTAAATTTAAGAATATTTATAACTATACTTCTATCTATACCCTATAATAAAAAATGAGAATGTCAATTCATTATTTAATATGAAAATGATAAATTATTTTATCACTTTATTTATTTATTTTTATCGATCATCTTTCTTTGAGTTTCAATTTTAAGTAGCAATTATTAATTGATTTGCAACTCATGTCATGAATGAGTATTTTTTGACACTCAAATTAAATTGAGATATCTTTGGTAAAAATAAAAGGAACCATAAATGACATTATGACAATGCTCATCATATTAAATAGTGATATACTATACCTAACTAGAAAAATTTATTTCTAAAGTAAGAATACAACGACTTTACTAAACAGTAATTAATTAAATAACCAATGTTTTTCTTCAAGTAGAGCACAGTTCCCCTATTTTTGGACCCAACAAATCTCCATTACTTTGTCAGTAATAGTATGAGAGAAAAGTGAGAGAAACTCTTCTCTGTGACTATGCCTAGCTTAGCAGTCCCTACACCCCTCTCTTCCTAAACCCTCTATTTATTCCCCTCTTTTTTCCTCAACTCAACTCAATTCAATTCCCCTTCTTTCTCTCTCCTCTAAACCCTCCATTTCTCCCTCTTCAACATGTAATTTTCTCCTCTCTTTCTCTCTCTCAAAATTATAAAATTTAGTGTTATAAACAAGAAATTATGCTTACATTTTGGCTTGAATTTTGCAGGAAAATGGCATTTGGTACTATTTTCTTAGTGGGGTTGCTCTTATTTTTCTCAATTGCTGATGCTTATCGTGGCGGAGGTGGTTGGATTAACGCTCATGCCACTTTTTACGGTGGCGGTGACGCTTCCGGCACCATGGGTATGATTCTTTCCACCCATAGCTTCATACAAGCCAAGAAGCGCACGCAATGCATACATTAATTAATTTATTAAATGTGTTGCTACAAATATATTTAATGCGACTTTATGTTATACTTGTATAATTTTTAATATATGATTAATTAATTTATTTAGGTGGAGCGTGTGGGTATGGAAATTTATACAGTCAAGGGTATGGAACTAATACAGCAGCACTAAGCACAGCATTATTCAACAATGGATTAGCGTGTGGTTCGTGTTACCAAATTATGTGTGTTAATGACCCTAAATGGTGTCTAAGAGGCTCAATTACCGTTACTGCTACTAATTTCTGCCCTCCTGGTGGATGGTGTGACCCTCCTAATCACCACTTTGATCTCTCTCAGCCTATTTTCCAACACATTGCTCAATATCGAGCCGGTATCGTCCCTGTTGCGTATCGCAGGTATATATTTCTTAATTGTCACGTTAATAGTATAATTTGAGTTGGTAAGCGAACATATTTTAAGTCATTGTTGGTCAAGTTGGGTTATGATGTGTATTCCATATAGTGTGAACTAAAAATCTAAAAGGAGGTTGCCTATTTTAGAAAACTTGAACAAATTGGGTTGAGATTTTTGTATACGTATTTGTTTATAATAAAAAAATTAATAAAAGTGGTGAGAAAGTTTAGTTAGTTAGGAAGTTGTTTGAAAAGTTGTATGTTGCGATTTACTCTTTTGGTCTATTCAAATAAAAAAAGAAAAGTATAATCGTGAAAGAAAATGGTCCTACATTTTTTAAGAGTCACATGGAACTACATTACTTTTTCTTTGTTACCTACGTCTAAAGGTATAATTTCAACCGTAGATAAAGACATAAAAATTATGGATTTATATCTTAAAAATTGGTTTTATATTGAATCACTTTTTTTTTTGTAAAAAAAAAATCTTCTTAAAGGGATAAAGAGATGGCGTTAGAAAAAAGTACCACTTATATTTATTGCCCTTATTTGACAAAATTGCACATTTTAACATCAACAAAGAAAAACATTAAAGGCTAGCGCAATTGTTGCAACGTGTCACGTCTATTGTATAGTGCACATTCAAAAGTCGAGAATACTAAAAAAAAAATGTGTACTCAGGTGTATATAAGAATTAAACTGTGCGCTAATTTTGCGTGTGTTGTTTTGTATAGGGTGCCTTGCCGGAGAAGGGGAGGTATAAGGTTCACAATCAACGGGCACTCGTACTTCAACTTGGTGTTAGTAACCAATGTCGGTGGTGCCGGGGATGTACATGCAGTTGCAATTAAAGGGTCAAGAACACGTTGGCAACCAATGTCAAGAAATTGGGGGCAGAATTGGCAAAGCAACAATTATCTCAACGGGCAGGCTCTCTCATTCAAGGTCACCACCAGTGATGGTCGTAGTGTTGTTTCCTTTAACGTTGCCCCTCCTAATTGGTCTTTCGGGCAGACCTATTCGGGTGCCCAATTCCGCTGAGGGCCGAAAATTTTACGTAAAATGACATTTATGTCCTTTTGCGTGTGGTCTTGATTGAACCTTAAGTATATATACGGACTACGGAGTACTTTTTATATAGTTTTAATTAGGGTTTATTTACTAAGGTCAGTATTTTAATTTTAACTGACCTAAATATTTTCTACAGTACTTTTTTTAATGGGGTTAAAATGGGAAATTGAAGCTTATTTTATGAGGCTTCTTTCTTAAACTACCCCTGTTTTTTTAGGGTACCCCTTTATTTTGAGAGTGACTTTTGTAACTGTTAAGATTTGTGGAATATTTCCTCCACAGGCTGTGGTGGATTTTTACCGCCCGCCTTCTAGTATTTTGTCTTTTTTTTCTTCTTCTAAGTAAGAAGTAGGGTTTATTGTCCTTTGAAAATTGATGTGTGTATGAAGTGTGATTATTGGAGTTCTAAATGTTATTTATGCGATTGTTGGACTCTATAAGTGTAAATTTAAGCTATTTTCAGTTCTAATGAGAATTGTGTTACTACGACCTGTATAACAAATTAAACTTTGTTTTATTATTGCCTTGAATTTTCTCTTGTTTCATTGTTGTCAACAAACATAGAGCGTGTCATATATAAAAGAATCGTGTGATTACCGTATTTTTTCCCGGTATTGAATTATTGATGTCATCGTTGTTTGTATCTACTGAGATTGTTACATTACTCAAAATCCGCATTTGATTTTCATGTACTTGTATATTTTTAGCTCATGCTGTGACACCCTATGAAGTAATGATATTATTTTCCTATACTGTATGAGACTTTTGTTTGATACAAATATGGGTACTTAAAAATGTTAGTTGGTACAATTTACAATAATTGTAGATGTTCTCTTCAGCTAATTCTTTCGGTTAGTTTAGTCTAAAGATATTAAGATAGGTCTTCTTGTAAAAAAAAAAATATTAAAATAGGTCTTCTTGTAAAAAAAAAAATAATAATAAAATATTAAGATAGGTCTACTGCAGTTCAAGCAATAGACCACATAAATTAAGTCAAAGCCCGCCAGCCCACACAAACGTAGCAAACCATTCCTCCAATGTTTGTTGTTTTAAGAGCTTTGATATCAAATTTGTCACTTGTACAAGCCTGCCAGCTTACAAAGCCACTTCCCAAAAAAAAACTGTTTATTTTGTTCATCATTCTACTTTGGATGGTGAGTGAGTTTGAATTAAGTTGGTTGAAATCGGATTGTATCGTTTCGATCATACAAAATTGTAAAATATGTGTTCTAAAAAAGTTACTAAATAACCAGATTTAAGCAATGAGAATGATAATAGCATATAGTGTTGCTATTCTTGCTAACATAAAAGTACACGCACATAGTTCAAATAGGTAGTACACAAAAAGGTCATAAATTTTCATTGTTTGAGTGGGTTGTTATATTTTTTGGCTTTGAAATTAGGTTGATAGCTTTTGTGGTTCATTTTATTAAAAAAAAAAAAAAAAAAAAGAGCTTGTCCCAATTTCTCAAGATGAGCAAATACGTAAATAATGGCAAATTTTTAATATTTTATTATTTTTTCTTGCTGAGTCATCTTCTTTCTTCTCCTTCCATTTTCATCCTTTCTTCTTCAACCTTTCAAATCATCCATGGAAGATGAACCCCATCACCATAACCAACTCCATTCTCGACACCACCAATACCACAACAAACCCCAACCACAACATCACCATGAATTTAACGAAAAACCCTAAGAAAAATATATAAATTAAGGGTATGGTTAACCTCAAATGGTAGGATTTTGCCATTGTTTGAAATTGTTCCCTCCATTGTTGAAGAAATATTCGATATCCATTGTTAAAAACTGCTCAAAGTTCATTGTTGAGGAGAGAGAAGTTGAGAGCAGTGGGTATTTTTTTTTTTTTTACCAAAAAGACCAAAATGCTCTTTTGAAAAACATATAATATTTCTCATGTTGAGAAACTTGTATTTTAGGATTGTATGTTTCTAACCGATTCCATATGATTATGTACTATCTTATTACAATTATATGGAATTCTTTTGTATTATCGTATGATAGATGTGTAATTGCTATGATTTTGTGATTTTATTACTAGTACTAATTTACGATTTTAGTGACTCCGTGATTTTATCTTTAATCTGAATTGGGGGTTGTAGAATTGTGTGACCCTACAATTTGGGTTTCGATTTTAACTTTGATTACATGTAATGGTGTATTAGAATTTATTTAGAAATTTTAAAATATATGTACGACAAGTCATAATAAATTACCATTTAAATTATTATACAAAGTATAAACTTTATGAGATTTAGTCTTAGTATTGTTGGTAAAGTATTTAAGGTGGACATCAATCTCAATCAGAATTTGACTTATATTATAAGCTGGAATACCTAAGATTTGTGTTAGTGTACGGAGTATTACGTAAAAACATTAGCCTCTAATCAGTGTGTTTGTCTCTAAAGAAAACTCTTTTCTTTATCATATCATATTATATCATCACTAATAAAAAAAGCTGGTCTCGCAGCCAGACCACGAGACAGCGACACTTGACATTCTATTTTTTTGCCAAGTGTTGCGCCATGTAAGAAATAAATATGTATTAATGTGATACATATGAAGCTAAGTAACCGATTTTTGGATAGATTTTTTAAGATAAAATTGTTGTATAAAGTTTTGTTAACGATAGAATTCTAATATTTCATATATACAAAATTAATCATAACTTTTAATAAAATATTGTATAACTCAATTCTATTTCCATAATCAAATTCGTTTTAAAAATTTCTTTAAAATAAAATCTATTTATAATATATTTAATCACAAACTTTTATACGTACCTGGTCAAACCGTGTCACCAACTATTACAGGATCAGAGTTACTTCGTTAGTACTATAGAGGTTACTTGGTCAATATTATAGTGGTTACTCAATCTTTATTATAGACAGGGGTTACTTAGTCAGTGTTAGAAGTTACTCAGTTAGTATTATAGGGGTTACTCGGTCAGTTTTATAGGGGTTACTTTGTCCGGCCAAATGGTGTGGTTAGCCGCACACAAAATGAATTGTTATTTAATTTATTTAAAAAAATATTAGAGAATCTGTAAAATAAGTTTTAATCAGTAAAAATAATTTTAGTTTGGTAAAAATACTTTCAGTTCAGTGAAAATAATTGAAGTTCAATAAAAATACTTTCAAGTCAATAACAACATAAATATTTATTTACAAACAAAACTACACAAGTTTACTCCATATGATATTGTTTGTCTAAATATCCTACATTATCAGAACTAATTATTTGACTGTATTGAACATTCAAGTAAAAATATTATCTTAAAATTTTATCAACCATCTGGGCATCGCCTGGGCACAAAACTAACCACTAATATATAAAGTCGGTCTCGCAGCCACGCCACGAGACATCGACACTTGACATTCCAGTTTTTTGCCAAGTGTCGAGTCACGTAGACGACAAATAGGTATTATTGTGACACATATAATGCTAAGTAAGTGATTTTTGGATAGATTTTTTAACACATATGACACGGGTCAAACCGTGTCACCAACTATTACAAGAGTTACTTCTTTAGTGTTATAGGAGTTACTTAGTCAGTGTTATAATGGTTACTCAATTAGTATTATAGATAGAGGTTACTTAGTTAGTGTTAGAGGTTACTCAGTTAGTATTACAAGGGTTACTCGGTTAGTTTTATAGGAGTTACTTTGGTAAAAATGATCCCGACTTTCGCCGGTTCGCTCTAAATAAACCAACTTTGGATTATCATATATAGCTAATATATAAAGCTAAACTTTGAGCCAAGCCACGAGACAGCGACACTTGGCGTTTTACTTTTCGCCAAGTGTCGCGCCATGTAGGCGCAATTAATGATTAGTAGGACGTGTAGGATTAATTTAAATGTTTTAATTTTTTATTTTTTTTTTTATTTTTTGTAGAATAGGATAAAAAGTTGGATAGATTTAGATAGATATTGTAGGATAGAAAAGTTGGATAGATTTTGTAGGATAAAAAAATCATTTTACAATTTTATTTTCAATAAAATTGGATAGAATTTTAAGATAAAACTTTTGATTTAGAATACTATTTTCAATAAAATATCGATATTTTATATTATAAACGGTGGATTAGAGGTATATAGTGGTACAATTGTACCTTCATTCTCCTCCCCTATGAAAAATCAAATAGACTTGTTATTACATACAAGTATAACCGATGATTAGGGGATTTTGCTCCCACCAATCGGAATGCGCCACGTGGACCAATCAGGTCCTGCCAAGTGTCCCCCAGTTGGAACAGTCAGGGCTTCTCACGTGGCACGCGCTTATTCGTCCACCTTGGACCTGTTATGTCAAGACATGTGGCATACTCCATGCCTAATGGAGAAACCGGCCACCCAGGCCCAACTTCCGAGGGAAGCCCAATCGGCCCTAGGTTTACCTAAACCTAGGATGGGCACGTTTTCCAAGGTTATAAATACCTCCCTTAATCCTCATTAAGGGAGAGAACAGAAACATTACGGAAAAAACACATTAATTACACACAGTAATAACCGGCTGATCTCGCTAACAAAGCAGATTACCTACATTAAACACTCTCACCTAGAGAGACCAAATCACTTTAATTTCCGCATTAATTACTCCTTAATCAGGTACTAACTTGACCGTTGGAGGCGGAGCTCACAGGAGTCTCCGTTATTTTGCAGGTACAGGCGTCCGGTTCCAGTCTCGGAATTGTAACTCTCCCGCATGACATCAGAAAACCCCGAAACATTTGGCGCCGTCTGTGGGGAGAGTACTTCTGAGATGGCATCCAAGTCTGTACCGACTCCTGAAGAGAGGCGTCCCCTAGAAGACCCTCAAGTTCAGTCGGACCATGATACCGAAAGTGAATTTGAAGTTGAAGCTCATACAGCTTCAGACGGGACCCTAAGGGCCCGACGTACCCGTCATACCGAAAGGAGGGAACGGGAGCATCTTCAAACAGGAAGCGAGCCAGCAGGCGCACCGCCTGTTCGGCAACAGCCGACTGATGGGTCTGCTCCCATCACAAGGAACGAACTCATGGCCTTCATGAGGGACTTCAAGGGAGAGATTCAAGAGTTGATCAACAAGAAGCCGCCTGCTCCAGTCAAGGAGCAGTCGGCCAAGAAACCCTCCACTTCACTGAAGAGGAAGCCAGTTCAAGGGCGAGAGGCGACTCCTCATCCTAAATCTTGGAAGCGGGAGCCACCTGCCCTTGATTTCACAAAATTCCATTTTCCTACAGGAAATAGGAAACCTGATCGTCATATTCAGGCGGACGGGTTGAAGCAGACATTCACAGACGCTCGGCTACTGCTAGAGCAGAAGAAGAGTGACCGATTGTCAGAGTCGGCCTCTACTTCAAACTTTCAAGACAGTCTGCGAAATGCCTCGATGAGGCATACTCAGTCGTATCATGAGAGTCAGTCAGGCGGCACCTCCCGTCAGTCCGGCTTTCATAGCGACCAGGCGGTACCAAACTTACCATTTGTGCCGCAACAACAGTATTTTTTGCAACCAC